AGAGACTGGTGAAACGTTAGGAAGAACAACCTTCAGAACATAGCCAAAGAGCCCGAAAAACCCACAACAACCATTAGATCCCCGCCGTGAAAGCCTTCGCGAATACAGTTTGGACGTTTTTGGTCTTGGTTTCCAGTGATACATCTTTACACTTATGTCTGGGGAAGTGTATATGTCCACAAAAGCTCACATTAAAATAGTGGTTGGTTTTAAGGTGCCACAACCTTTTTCTCTACTTTATTTTTAATTTTTCTTTTGTTCTTTCCTGATATGGTAGCACAGATTAACATGGCTATTTCTTCTAAATCTAATCCTTACACTTTTGATGATCTTTTCTAATTCTTTCATTGCTGCCCTTCCGAGACTCAGTCTTCTCCTGACTGCTGTCTCCATATGGATTGATGGTTGAACCAAGAAGTTATACAGAATCTCTCACTATTTCAGTGTCTTCATTGTCAATGTTAAAAGTTGTTTAATTCTTCTGTAGTTATGATTTTTTTCATCATTGTCAATGTTAAAATTGTTTAATTCTTCTGTAGTTATGATTTTTGTCTTCTTGATGTTCAACTGCAGTCCTGCTTTGGCAATTTCTTCTTTCACTTCCACTAAAAGTCATTGCTGCCATTTCATGTCATTGGTGCTTTCTTCCAGTGTTATCTGCATACTGCATGTTATATTATTCATGTTTCTTCCAACAATTTTCACTCTTTCTCCATCTGAATCTAGCTTGGCTTTATTATATGTTCTGCTTACAGATTGAACAGATTAGGAGATAAAATGCACCTTGTTCAACACTTTTGCCTATAGGAAACTATTCTGTCTCTCCATATTCTGTCCTAACAGTAGTTTCTTGTTCACAATACAAGTCAAGGATCAGGACAATCAAGTGCTGAGGTTCATCCATTTCTTTCTTTCTTCTTTTTTTGTGACTTACACAGTCAATGGCTTTGCTGTAGTCTAGAAAGTATAGACTCATCTTCTGAAACTCTTTGACATGCTCCAGAAGCCAGTGGTTATTTGCCATAAGATCTAAAGTGTCTTTTTAAAAACACCTTGTAGCCTGATCAGCAGTCAGAGTAGAAACAGCAAATAAGAAGGAGAAGATGGGGGGGGGGAAGAGGAAAAAAGTTCGAGGACAGAAAGAAGCAAGAGGGGAGAGCAAAGAGGATGCTGTTCAGATGGGGAAGAAAATGAAAAAAGAATTTGGCAGGAGCGAAGACCAGCCAGGAGAAAGCAAAGAGTATAGAAACAGCATTTGAAACCACCTGTAGAGAAGAAGGATGGATGAATGAGACAGGAAATAAAAAAAGATAGGAGGAATTGGGAAGGAAAGAAGGAAAGAGAAAATGGAAGAGAGAAAGGGGGAGTAGACTAGGAAGGCAGAGTGCAGGGAGTAAAGCCATGGGATGTGCTGGAGAAGGGCAGAGGGGGGCAGTCCCTAACCACTGTCACGCCAGGGTTGCTGGCACTCAGCCAGTTTCTCACCAAGTTGCAGCACATGATCCACAGCCCCTGTCTCCAGCAGGTTGCCTCTGTGAAAGGGGAGCCCCTCCATGACAGCAGTGCTGGCTAGGGTGTCTGGAGCCAGTAGGGGAGCCGAAGGATGCTTCCCTTCATCATCTGCATGCCAAAAAGAGTTCACGCTCAGCTGATGGGCCAGAAACGTGCGGCACAGCTTTTAAAGGGGAAAGATGGCTCAGTCTGAGTAGAAACAGAACTGGATATGGGGCTTTGGTTAAACCGCTGTACTGCAGCCAAAACTGTGCTCACGACCTGGGGTTCAAGGTTGACTCAGCCTTCTATCCTTCCGAGGTCAGTAAAATGAGTACCCAGCTTGCTGGGCGGGGGGGGGAATGTGTAGCCTGCATAATTAACTTGTAAACCACCCAGAGAGTGCTTGAAGCACTATGGGGCGGTATATAAGCAGCACGTTTTGCTTTTGGCTTTTTTTTTTTGAGCCAAACATACCCTCAGCAAGCCATATATCATATTTATACAGTGGTGCCTCGCATAGCGAGGTTAATACCATATATCATATTTATACAGTGGTATTAACCTTCGCTATGCTGAAGCATCGTTGAACGGATCAAAAAAACCCATTGGAACGCATTAAACATCATTTAATGCGTTCCAAATGGACCAAATCCTCACCGTTCAGCGAAGCTTCGTAATGGCCGGCAGCCATTTTCGCGCCCTCGCCTCGCTTAGCGAGGGCGCGAAAATGCTGCGCGCGGCCATTTTGGGCCATTTCCGGGCTTCCGGCGGCCATTTTGGCCGCCGAACAGCTGATCGTCGGGCTTCGTTTTGCGAAGATCGGTAAGCGAAACGCTTACCGGTCTTCGCAAAGTGAATTTAGCCCTATTCAAAAAATGTTAAGCGATCGCATTAGCGATCCGAAAAAACGGATCGCTATGCGATTTCATCGTTATGCGGTGTGCTCGTTAAGCGAGGCACCACTGTATGCCAGTGTGGACAGGCCCTTAGTTTGAAACTGCTCCTATCAAGGGAGTAGATTGAACTTACACAAGAATAATGGGGACTCAGGTTCCTAACTTCTTGTTTCTAAGTAATTGGAGTGAAGAATGATTGAAGAAGCCAGGAGGGGCATGAAAAGGCAAAATACAAACAGGGGCAGGAGTACAGCCAATTCATCTAAAAATCTATTACATAATGTCAGCAGCAGGAGGGTGGTTTTTTTTTGCTTTGTTTCGGAAATTATATTTCTAATAAAAATTATTATTTAGCTTTTAACTTTGTTCTTCTAATACTGCAAGCCGCCTTGATCCTTCAGGAGGAAGGCAGCATATAAATATTTCTAATAAACAAATGTAATGCATCTAAAAAGTCTGATACCCTTTATGAGAATGATAGAAGTTACTGGCTTGCTTAACATCTTAGCAGCAAAACAATGGGTGTACTATATATGTCCATACAACCTTTTCCTCAAAGTACTTATAGTTTCATTGCTTGCTTTTCATTATAGAAATCTCTGTCCTTGAAATCAAAGCCAGGAGACTGACTTTTAGGAGTACGTCCTTTTCTTGAGCTTTTCATTGCCTCCAGTCAAAGCTCCTTAAAGCCAAGGCCACAGATTTCTTATTAGGATGATTTGAAAGAGGTCAAAGGAGATGGAATCTAATCCTTGCCAAAGACCATACTGAAGAATATTGCAATCCCACAGGTCACAATAGGCTTCACAGTAAGGGATTCAGGTACACAACACAGGGAGTTAGCAGATGGTTCCACACACGTGCTGGATTTACTCCCACGCTTTCCCCAGTCCATTTACAGATGTTGCTCTGAACAGCTGCCAAACTGAATTATCCTGTGGTAACCTTCTGTTGGACAGGCCTTATCTGCTTGCTTACATGCTGGATTCTGGGCAGAACATATGCCCGGATCCACAGCTAATTCTGTCTGTTCTCTAAAAACACCCAGTCTAAGTAATCTGAGCTGCCATTATAGCTGTGCTTATGACTTACTGCTCACTTCATGCTTACTCTGTCTGTGTTTTAAATTCTTCCGCTATTACCTGAAGCCAACTGCTTCGTTAGTACAAAGCTTATGGGAATACATAAAGGAAAGACAATGATGATCACAGCAGGAATAGTAGGGGGGTTTTCCTCTGTGCCGATGCCTCTCACATTAATTCTCACAGTAATAACCCACAATAGTCTCAATATACTACACACATTAGGATGTTATGAGAGTAGCATTGCATTGGTTCATTTAGCTCAGCCGTCCAGGATCACCTTTAAGATTGAGGCAAAAGTTTTAGATCCATCTGGCTGAAAGCCTTCACAGGATCACGCCAGGATGTAATTGCAACACATTGGCAAAAGATTCCAATAACCACAGCACACAGCGGAGGCCTGTGAGGGACTTGGCTGCTTTTTTCATCCCCCTCCACTCGTTTATTCGACAGACTAGGTGAAGAGGTTGAAGCGCCGATCTCATTTCCTCCCTGTTTTTCTGCTTGTGAAGTCTGCCAACAGAATCCACCTTGACAAAGTCAAGGACTCCACGTTTAATGTTGAACTGAGTGAATAAATTATGCATGAAATTGTGTCGGAGTCTCTAGTGTGCCGAATTGCTCCTTTTGATATGAAAGGTTAATTCAGAAAGGAGTCCAAAATAGCTGGAAATTGTGGGGATAAGTGGATAGTATTCACTGTTGTGAGCTGTTATTACTAGAAATTGCATCCCCTCTGTAGCTTCCCCTGAGATTTCACTTTGCCAGTGAATATAAACTGTATGCAATAGAACAGCATCCAGAAGCAACCGGACTGGAAGTCCACCTGCAGTAAAATATTCCTTTAAAAGAAGAGGGGCCATATACTTTCTCCATGCCGCTATAGGAGATTATTCCCTCATTCATGTCAAGAGTAAGATATATCAGTGCTTAATGGTTTTGAAGTTTGCCTGTTATTAAAATTCACCCTCCATCTCTATAGCCAGTCTTAAAGTTTGGACACTGAGAATACAGTAGGAACCCCTACACACAAACCCTTTCCCTGGAATCTATTTCCAGGTCTATACACAATGCCGGATTGTCCACCACATCACAATGTGCTCTATCTTGAGCTGCTTGCTGACAGCCAGACTTTCGGAAGGTTAATTCTTGGGAGAACATGTCCCAGAATGCCTCAGGGCTTGAAAAATTTCAACATGACTTTTTCAAACTCTGCTGCCAGCGATGGGTCAACTCAGGGAAGCTAGTGTAGTACACACTCTGCTCTCCATTGAGGGCAAGGAGCTTCAAATAGTTGACTTGGCCACATTAATCCACAAAGTACAAGTTGTCCAGGCACGTCTTTTCACCTTGATCAGATCTAACCAGCTGCTGAGTTCTTTTAAAAAAAAGCAAGCAGGCAAGCCAAAAAAAAAAGTGTTTGTTTTTAAAGCAAGGACACCTGACTTGTTTTGGCCTCGGGGCCAAGTAACATGTAGCTGTGATGCTTTCTTTCTTGTGACTTTAATATTTTTTTTTTTGATTCCAGGAGTTAGCAGCCGTGGGGGAAGATTTTGACATCATCTTTATTGATGCTGATCAAAAGAACCCTGCCGAGTCCTATCGCTTTGTCATGGAGAACCATTTGCTGAGGATGGATGGGTTGCTCTGCATCGAGAATGTGCTCATGAAAGGATGGGGCTACCTAGAGAATACGGCAGATGAAAATGTATTAGATGTCAAAACACTGAATCAAGTAATTAATTCAGATCCTCACACAGAGCAGGTTAGTGCAGCGCAATTAAGAGTGACATCAATGTTCTAATAGCTCTTGTGTACTTTTTGGTAGAAGGAACATGTTTGTTTAGGCTCTTCTCTCTCCTCCTTCTATTAAACAGAAGCATACTGGATAGATGTGTTGAAGATCTCCTTAGCTGGGAAAAGAAAGAGAAAGATATATATATTAAATATCCATATTAAAGTGAGCAGGGTGATGCCTGGAGATGAAGGATTCTCCATTGTGGCAGCCTGGTACTGAAATGCTTTATATCACCAGGTAGTACCAGGGATGGAGAGAATCCTGCCACTACCATTCACTGTCAACAATACTAGGTAGATGGACCAATGATCTCACTTAGTATAAGGGCAGGGGATGTGGCTTTAGTGGCTTTCTTTATCTTTCCTTTAGACTGGCACAGGCAGAGTTTCACGCTGGCAGAAGCTCTTAGCAGCCATTACAGTTATAGTGGGAGAGGTCTCAGTGCCTTGGCAAAGGTCTCAGAGAGTTGCTCTGCTTCCCCAGGTCTCTGCTTTCCCAGGCAGGAATATCTCAAGATAAGTAGGTTTGGAAGAGCAGAAAGCCTGCATTTCCTTCCCCAGCCCGCAGATCAGTTCTGCTTGTTTGTTTGCTTGCTTTTGTCTGAGTATATAAAAAAGGGATAGTGATCAGTAACCTAGTAGATCATACTTTCTAGGACAAGAGGCCTAGTTCAGATTGCACTCTGCTTTCACTGTGGAAGCATGAAGTCAAAAAACCTGCTGGGTGCAACTTTTTAAAGACTAAGTTGAAGCACGGCTGTTTGTCTGTGCATGTTTTAATGACGTACGTATGTAAGTAATGTGTGCTATCAAGTTGACTCATAGTGAGCCTTTCCAGGTAGAGAGTACTCAGAAGCAGTTTACCCTTACCTTCATCTGGGGTGAGGAACATTCTGGGACTGAGCAGCTTGCCTGAGGCCACACAGGCTGGCTCTTCTCTCAGGAGGCCCAGGAGGGATCAAAATCCCAACCTCTGGCTCTGCAGCCATATCCTGAAACCACTGCGCTATCCAATCAACAACTGAGGTGTGTGTGCAATAGAGGTGAACCTGGTTAATGGGAGAGGGTGGAACATTCTGAAGTAAATAGCTTTACAACTCCTCAGAGAATTGGCTTCAGCTGTGTTGAAATGATTGTTGAAATGATTGCTGTTGTTTTAAGCATTAATGAATTTGTATTCTCGAAGGCTTAATGAATTGTGTTTTCCTTTGCAAAGGTGGTCTTGCCTGTGCAGGGTGGTCTGATGCTTGTCCGAAGGAGTCTGATGCGTATTGAGCAGGAAGACCTTCCAAGGGTATGCTTTTGTCTCTTCTAAAATAATGTACAGTGGTGCCTCGCTTAACGATGATAATCCGTTCCAGGAAAATTGCTGTTAGGCGAAAACATTGTAAAGCAAAATTTAAAAGCCCATTGAAACGCGTTGAAAACCCCTCAATGCATTCCATGCATTGGGCTAAAAATTCACCCTCCAGCGAAGATCCTCCATACGGCGACCATTTTCAGTGCCTGTATAGCAAGGAATCCATCCCTAAGCACAGCAGGGAGCCATTTTAAGCATCCGGTGTCCATTTTGAAAACCCACTGTTTTTGATCGTCGTAAAGCGAAAATCACTTCCCAAAGCAGGGAACTGATCATCGCTAAGCAAAATTCCCCCATTTAGACCATCATTTTGTGATCGCAATTGCGATCGCAAAAACACCGTCGTAAAGCGGATTTGTCGCAATGTAATCGTTAAGCGGGGCACGACTGTACTAAGAATACCAGTCTGTTTTTCCGGGCACATCCTGCCATCTTTTATTGTACTTGACATGCCATTCAGGCTAGTTTCATTCTTCTATGTTCCTCTCACTTAAACATTTGCTTGCCTTTTTGTTCTCTCAGTCAACTTTTTTGGGTAAGAGTCGCATGAAAGTGGGAAGTGTGAAAGATCCTTGGATAACATGCTCTCAGTATATGTGAAGCTTGAAGTAAGTATGTGTCCAGCACTCCCACCAGATCATTTGTTTCTAATAAATTCTCTGTAGAAACATTAGGTGGATGGCCTCTTAGTGGACACAAAATATCATCTGCTCTGAAGAAATAAAAACATGCCTTTTGCCCTGCAACCTTAAGCACACATTCTATCCCCTTGGGTCTGCCTCTTAAAACTGTAGTACTCTGTCGACTCATCCATGCTTTTGGTTCTGCTTCCCAAACTAGTTCTGAGTTGAGAAAGAGAAGTCCCATTGAAATTACTGAGGGTGCATAAAAAGTAGGATAAAGGTTGGCAGATATCAATAAATCAAGGGGGTGAGAATCATGGAGGTAGCAACACTTGGAAAAAATTGGGGAGTTGTAATCCAAAAATGTAACTTGCCCAAGCTCTCAAGGAAGTAAATAAGATAGCAAGTAAACTACATACAAATGCAAAATGTCTGAACAGAGTCTCCGTATAGAGAAGCCAGGTTACTCAGTGAGAAATTGTAAGTTGCTTTTGATGCATTAAAAAAATCCATTCATATTTCTGGTTCAATACATAAATTTGAGGGGAGCAACAACCAGTATAACCCGGTTCCCCCTTCACATGCTGATTATCCATCAGGGTTGATTAGTCATCATGATTTATGAGTTTCTGAAAAGATTTGGCTGAGCTTTTTCTCTCCGGGGATGAGCCTGCCATATCCGCCATGGACTGCTGCCCATTGGCAGCTTGCTTTTGCAGCCTCCCAGTAACTAAACTAAACAACTCTGTGAATTTCAGAATATATTTATATTCACATCAAGGGAGCAATCCTAGACTCTCTGGGATGGTGGCTAAAGGGACATAGTATCATGTGAGAATGCCAGGCTATAGTAAAATAGGGAGGCTTGCTGGGAAGTTGGCATGGATGCCTTCAGAGGGCTCTTGTTACGTGGATCATCATCATCATCATCTTAGAACTGGGTTGGCATGGATGCCTGCAGAGGACTCTTATTACGTGGATCATCATCATTATCATCTTAGAACTGCAGAGCCGGAAGGGACCCTATGGATCATTGAGTCCAGCTCCTATCAAGGAGACCCAGCTTGGAATCAAACTTGCAACCTCAGGCTCTACAGCCAGAAACCTAAACCACTGACTTGGAATCAAACTCACAACCTCAGGCTCTACTGCCAGAAACCTAAACCACTGAATTATTCAGAAGTTCATCAGTTCTGTTGTTGCTGCTCTGCTCACGGGAAAGTCCAAAACAGACCATCGGGGGGAACCTGGGATCAGGAAGGTCACATATTCACCGGATCCCAAGTAGAGACGGGCATGAACTGAACTATGAACTGGAAATAAACCCAAAACAAAACAAAGCACTGAACCTTTTTCATTTGACACTTCATTAAAAAAAAAACCAGATACCCCGTCCATTCCCGCTGCCCCCTATCATCTCCCTACCTGGTCCTGCCTCCTCCCGCTCTTCCCTTCTGGAAGCTGGGCTGCTGTCTCTAAAGATGGTGGTGGCAGAGGCAGGCAGGGAGGCCACAGGGAGCAGTGGGAAGGAGTCCGGCAGGTGGCTGAGGGGTGGTGGCAGTGGGATTAGCTTCCCCTCCCCCAGACAAGANGACAGTGGGAAGGAGTCAGGCAGGTGGCTGAGGGGGTGGCGGTGGTGGGATTAGCTTTCCCTCTCCCAGATAAGAACCAGGAGAAAAAAAACAAGCCACAAACCAGTTCATTTTTCCAAGGTTTGTGGGTGGTTCATGTTTTGTGGTTTGTGGGTAGCCACGAACCACCTTGAGTTGTCATTTTTCTGGTTCATGCCCATCTTTAATCCGAAACATGATCATTCTCGTTAACACCCCAGCTCCCAAACAGAGAAAGGAACTCTTTCACCAGAGGTTCGCAATTGCCTCTCGTTAGAAAGAACAGGAGGCTAAATGGGGGCCAAGAGTGAGGTAACCAAGGGAGGAACAAAGACCTCTCTCCCAGCTGCCAGGACCCTGGATGGGGCAGTAGACCTGCCACAAAACCCTCCTTCCCCCTCAGGGTGAGATCTATACACCAGCCCTCTGTGTGACATCATTTAGGCTAGTTTTCGGTTTAAGGGCTCAGGTTTTCCTCTCTAGCTCAGCTGCCTCTTGAGCATGGCTGCACAAGGAATGGATGTGGAGAGGAGACATCTTTCATGAACCATCTGTGTTCCTATGGAGTTATATCACCCCATATGTGGCTAAGTCATAGGCAGTGGTAACTTGAGATATTCCCACACCCACTTGAGTAGCAAATTATTTCAAAGAGGGAGTGCAGACTCTTGTAAAATGGGTCAAGGAAGTGGTTCAGGGAAACATCCAATTGGCACCTGCCCCTTCCTGGAAACCTAGGGCAGTAGCCCTTTCAGACTGAGTTTCTCAAGAGTTGCACAGTGCTGAGCATAGCTGATTCGCACAAGGTATTCTTGTTCAACAAATTTGCAGAATTTGCAGCAACAGCCGAAATGTCTGTGCTTGAAATGCATGGCTTGTCCACACGGGGGCACTATGTATACACCCATTCACTACAAAAGGCTTCTCAGTCTTTCTAACCAGGAGGTCTTTAAAACATAAGGGTGGATTAATCCCAGGTTCTGTTTAAATACTTTCTTCTCTTGTGTCTTCTGTTTCTGTTCCAAAAGGGAGTTATGAAAGATGAAGTGTTTGAGGGCCACCGTGGACGCCGCATCCTTGACCGCCTACAACTGGAGGGCAAAGTTGCTTATGTCACTGGCGGAGGCCAGGGGATTGGACGAGCCTTTTGCCACGCGCTGGGCGAAGCTGGTGCCAAAGTGGCCGTCGTGGATCTGGTACCTGCCAAGGCGGAGGCAGTAGCCTGTGAATTGAGCCTCAAAGGTATAGAAAAAGGTCCAAAGCACTTGGCAGGGGAAATCCTTTTTTCTTTCCTGATTCTTGTATCCTTTTTTTTTCCTCAGAAGGAAAGAAAGGAAAAAGAGTAATGTCTATATAATCAACCCTTCTGCCATGCCGTGATTTTTCCAAACTCTCCGCTTCTAATCCATATCTTTAGTAATCCTGCACTTGAACCTGCATGCACAGGTTTTATTTTTTAAAAAAGTCTTATGCAGAATGGTTGAAAATCCTGTTTTCTTCTTGTTCCTCTCCTGTTGGAGAACAGATATCATCATGATGGTTTTGATTTTGGATGCAGTGCCTTTTCACACTTTTTTTTGGGCTGGATCCAAAGCAATCTCCCAGCTTTTTCAACCAATACATTCTTCACTTTCTGTCTGCATCTTTCCGCATTTCACTTGAATAAACTGCTATAGCAGTTTGTGCCTAGGGTGTATGCATTATATCTTTTTGCATTGTAGGTGCTTCATGGTTTTCTGAGCTTGAACCCCATTAAGGATTTTTGCTCATGTAGATGGGGTGGCAAAAGTGATTGCATATCTCTGGGAATCACAGAAGAGATGGGCAGACAATATTGTGCGTGCAGAATGTTGCATGGCCAGTTGCACTTTCCTGGAGACCCTGCCCCACTGCAAAAGCTGTGTGGCAGGCTAGAGGTGGCTGCTGCACAACTGGTTGTGTGCCCAGTAGCTCCAGTGGTGCAATCTAGCATTATTTTCAAGTAACTGTGCTCGTGGGTATTCGTGCTACCCAACTGCCCAAGGGGATAATAATCCTGATCTTTATTCATTCCTAAGGAACAACAACAACAGCAGCAGCAGCAGCAGCAGCAAAAACAGGGACAGCTTTCTCTGACTATATGCTCAGTCCAGAAACTTATTTTCAGTGTAAGAAAAGGAGCTTGCTTGAATTTAGAAAAGTTACCTTTTGACTACATATCCTAAAATCCCCCAGTGACCATGACTGGGAGATCCTGGAAGGTATTGTTGCTTTTCCTCCCCCCAAACGTTTCTAAGATTCAGGACGCACACACAAACAGCACACAGACACAGACAAACAAACACACACGGACAAATTTTCTGACTTTGACAGTCTAATTAAGGAAAAAATAATGCCAGCCACATTTTCCCCTTGACTTCCATGTTCTGCTTTTGCTCACGTTGTTTGCTGTGGTGAGCTCTTTGCTCTCCTGTTTAGTATTCTAGCTTCCAAAAACCTGTCTTTTGAGCCATGTTTCAGAAGTTCCTCTTCAGGACAGTAATGGAGAGATCAATGATAGAAGGATCATGTTGCGGGAAGGAAGGGTTCGTAGGCTGACCTGCAAGCTAAAAGAGGTTTTGTACAAAAGCATGGCTTTAAAGCGAGTGCTCTGAAGGCATTGCATCCAACTCTTTGTTGGTAAACAAGGACTAACAGAGCTCAGCCATCCGCCTGTTGCCTAGCAGAGATGATTCAGGCAGGAAAGAAAATTACCCTATATAGAATTCTTCACTGGGGTACTTGAAGGAAAAATAACATACAATGAGGCATGACTGACGGGAACAGAGGAGAGCAATCTTTTGTTAACAGGTTCTATATAATACACATCAATCAGCCAGCAAAAGAAGGTGTTCCATACAATAAATCATGTGTCAGCTATGGCATTTAAAGACTTTCCTAACAAAGTGCAGCCAAATAGCAATTCTGCTCTCTTTCGTGTTTGACAACACCAAAGGACACCTCATCAGCTTCATAGCCACAACAAATGAGGGCCAGTTCTGACCAAATGCCATTCAGTGCACTTTATTACTTTCACACTGCATGTGGTTATATGTATGACATACATGGAATTCTTGCTAAGATTGAGGCTCAGTCTCGCCAGCTGGCATCCTATCCCTCCAGCTCTCACAGGCAGATGATATGAAGGGAGCTTTTGCCTTGAAATTTTTATCTGAAGTTCCCTTTCCTCAGCATCTTCACTGAGAATTTTTATAAACAACGTCCTCTGATTATGTTTTCTAAGAACTAGCTTGTGCACGCTATGGAATGGTATACAAATTCAAAAAACAACAAGCAAACAAATAAATAGGGGTGGTTAGATTCAGTCTGATTCTGAGGCTGTCTGAATTGACACAAATCCTAGAAGCTGCTACAGAGTTTTGAACTTCTAGTAAAATTATCATTTTGCTACACAGTAGAAATACAGAGATCCACAGAGAAGAATAGCTTCACGTTCCCAGAGTCCACCTCTTTTTCATTAACAGGCACTTTAGAGTCTCAATAACTCACTCGGAGACACTTGTAGGAGAAAAAATTAAAAGTTGCTGTACTTACAGTTGAAATTACAGATTTGTGTATACTGCTTTCCTTACTGCACACATGCTTGCTAGCTATCAACCAAATACAGAGATCCACAGAGAAGAATAGCTTCACGTTCCCAGAGTCCACCTCTTTTTCATTAACAGGCACTTTAGAGTCTCAATAACTCACTCGGAGACACTTGTAGGAGAAAAAATTAAAAGTTGCTGTACTTACAGTTGAAATTACAGATTTGTGTATACTGCTCTCCTTACGGCACACATGCTTGCTAGCTATCAACCAAACAGATCAACAGTAAAAAAAAAAAGGAACAACAAAACTACCACCAACCAAGGAAGAATAGGTGCAGTGGTTTCGATGAAAGCAGAGCTCTCATATTATGTGAGGGATTTCTTTCCCTTCATCTTCTTCATGGCCATCACATGATTTCTGTGAAAGTGGTGGCTATCCAAGAAGTGTCCATCTTTATGAAATGTAAGGTTTTTAAAATAGTAAAACATGATAGCCTTGAAATAATGGCTCTCTCACAGTCCTATCCTTGCCTAATCTTTTTTTTCATGCTTTGCTTTACGGTGTTACAGAAATATCAGTCTTGTAAGGGGAAAATTAATAACAAGCTTTGTTATTCTATTGGTTTTTCAGTCAGAAGCCACAAAAAGTGGTGTAGTTTTACAATTTGCTGCTACTTAATTTGAGTCAAATTCTAGGTAAAGTTGGAAAACAGGAGCAGCAGACAGTAGAACAACAGAGGAATATGCAGAACTACTGCTGGACAGAATCAGGCAGGCACACACTTGTTCCGGAAGTGTAGAGAAACACAGAGACAGTACCAGGTACACAAAACTCTTACTTGCCTTGTTCTCATGCACAAGAATGAGAAAATACAAAAAAAGAGAGGCTTGTTAGCAAGAGGGTGCTATATTTTCTGGTAGTCTTGAGAGGAATTTTAACATCTGTGAAAATGATTTTGGTACAAATCACGTTCGTTCATTCGTTTAGTCGTGTCCGTCTCTTCGTGACCCCATGGACCAGAGCACGCCAGGCCCTCCTATCCTCCACTGCCTCCCGGAGCTGGGTCAGATTCATGTTGGTTGCTTTGGTGACACTGTCCAACCATCTCATCCTCTGTCGTCCTCTTCTCCTCTTGCCTTCACACTTCCCCAACATCAGGGTCTTTTCCAGGGAGTCTTTTCTTCTCATGAGATGGCCAAAGTATTGGAGCCTCAGCTTCAGGATCTGTCCTTCCAGTGAGGACTCAGGGTTGATCACACAATAACACAAATAATGCAGAAGGCACAATGCTATGGCAGCTGTTGGCTTGGGTCACAGTTTGCTTTTTCCTGTGTCTTTCTGAGCACAGTCCCTCCAAGGAAAAAGACACTAGTTTTGTACAGAGACATTTTGCACAAATTACAAAGACTTACAGAAAAAGAGAGAGAGCTTTGTTTGTGCTGAAGCCAAGAAATCTCATCCAATTTAAAAATATCTCATTGAATGTTTCATGTAATAACAGCTGAGACCAATGAGAATATTTGCATTTGTTCATCTTCCTTGATGAGAAAGGATGTCTCAACACAATGAGACTTCTTGCTTAAAAAAAATTAAACAAGTGTGACTTTTTTTTGCTTCTACACATGAGTGAAAAGCCTAGCGCTTTTTCAATCAGCAGCAACATAGCAAGAAAGCCACTTTGTGTTTTGTGTAATTTCTTTTAAAAAAATGTATTTTGTGCCAAAAAAATTAATTGCATGTTTTGCAAAAAAAAGTATTTTGTGCAAAACACAAGGTTCTTCAGCCAACTCAGCAGTTTTTCAGGAAAAAAAATTACTTTAATGAAATTTATCTCCTTCTCAAAAAAAAGTCATACAATGTGATAAATTCACAAGAACTCTCATTATCTCAAACCTTGGGATTAAAATGTCTGAAATAAGAGAAGAGTGGCATACTTACCGTCTATACCTAAGGGCAGATGGATGTGCAGGCTGGCACAGTGAAGAAAATAAAAGAGTATTGGACACCATTAAAGTCTTGGGACTATGAGTTGACAGATGTGAGTACCTCTCCAGATGTGTCAACTCCTGGTCCCTGTGACTTTGTACTAGCATTGGATGGGCAGGCAGAGACTGGGAGGGGGACAAAGAAAGAGAAAGAGGCTCAGTGGCTTTCAGACTTCTTATCATGACTGATTTGAAATCACATCTTGCCAGATGGACTGAAGTGCATGAATTGCAAAGTGGCCTTGAGGTTCAATGTTGAGTTGTTTCAGTGGAAAAGAATGAGGGGGGCAGAATTCACTCCAAATTCAGTTTCTGTGCTGCAGAAGCACAGATTCTCACACATACCTCCTTATGAATTAAGATTAGAAGGACAGCAGTGTGAGACAACTTGCTCACTCAGAGTTAGTAGCAAAGCAGAAGAGCCGAGGAGGGGAATGTTTGCTTCAAGGAACATCAAGAACTCAGTGTCCAAATAGCTAGGGTTGGTGCTGAGAAGTACCCCTTATTCAGAACACACACACTCTTGAGGTGCTCCCTCATGTGCCAGAGAGTAGCTTTCAGGCAAACATGGCCAGGTTCTGCTAACATGCCTGCAGGAATCTGTACCCAGTACTTGGTGTCAGAGTATGAGCTTTGCTAGCAGAAAGTCCCAGCTCCAACACCTAGGAAAAGCCCTAGGGAACTGCTGCCAGTCAATATTGACCATGCTGTGCTTGATGAAGACCAAGGATGGGATACAGTCCAAGGCAGGTCCCTGCGATCCTAAACACAACATGAAGAAGCAGAATGAAATGTAGGCTAAATGTCATTCCCACCAACTATTATGCAGAAGTATCCTGCATTGCTGTAGGAGTACAGAACGTTGCAATCTGAAGAAAGTGTGACACATGTTGACGCCTGAAGCTAATGTGTGAAGACAGAACATAGATGCAAACATGTGTCTGGAACCTTTGTTTTCAAGTCTGCAAAATGTGGAATTCCTTCAAGTAATCTCAGATTCCACATAATTCTTGTACTCTGAGGTTACTTGTAAGCAATTTTCATTCTCTGATATATTTGTGTCTATTTATATTTCTGGAGCTCCTCCTCTAACATGTAATCTTTTCAAACTGACCAGGGGACCCACACCTGTACACCACAGACTATACAACACAACTGAAAGAGTGGCAGTTACTTGAGACCATATGCCAGTAGATGGCGCAGTATTCAAAGCTTCCACCCTGATCTAAATGCTGGATAAGTTTGGTTCTATATGTAAGACTTTAAAAATTAGTATAGACATTTTATTGTCATACTGTCATGGGCCTCAACAGAGGAATAATAAACATTTTAAAAGACAAACTCCAGAATTAAAATAGGTTCCTTTTATTCCATCCCCCACCCCCAGCAACGAGAGCAATACCTGCCACACACATTGTCACATGAAGGTCTTCATCTCTCAAGAACAGTCAAAGTTTAACACATCAGGAAAATAATCCCATTGATTTAAGAAATATCTCAAGGCTGTCTCCACATGCTAATCAAGAGCACAGCAGCTAATATTCTCCCTCTTTCTTGTATAGTAAAAAGAAAACGTAAGGATTTGATTCTAGCTTGTGTGGAGGGAATCATCTGAAAAGTCCATGTTGTGAAATTTGTAATTCTTTACATGTGGTCAATGTATCTTTGACAATCTGCAGATGGTCGACCTCACTGTATTATTTCTACTATCCCACAATATTTTAAAAGGGTTTATAACAGAACCAAGTGTATTTTCTGTACTGCTTTGTTTCATTTTTGATTCTGATTTAGGGATAAAAAGCATTGCAATTGCAGCAGATATAACCCTACCAGGCGATGTTCAAAAGATGCTTGACACCATCCTGACAAAGTGGGGCACAGTTCATATAGCATGCAACAACGCAGGAATCAACATGAATTCCCCAAGTGAAGACACTTCATTAGAAGAATGGGACCAGACGTTTAATGTGAATTTACGTGGCTTGTTTTTGTGCTGTCAAGTAAGTATTACATCCTTTTTACATAAGTATGTCCCTTTCCTAAGCTTGGAGAAGCAGTATTGGCATTGCCAGGCATTTGCTAAGAGTTAATACAAAAAAAATTGTTATGAAATAATACAGAAATTGCCTTTGTGCATTGGAACACCTGCTTTTTCCTGTCTAGGAATCCCACCTAATTTAATACAAAACAAAAACAAAAATAGATCAGAACAAGGTGGATGTTTGGCACGTCAAAGCCCTGCCTTCTTTGGTGGGCACCCACTCGGAGGCAGTGCTCCGGCTTCCCTGCCCTGCCTCCTCTGGGTGCTGCCTCTGAATGGGCACCCATCAGAGGAGGCAGGGCTTTAAAGCGCCAAACACTTGTTCAGCTGATTAAATGAACTGGTACGAACCACTGAACCAATGGTTCATGCCCATGTCTATTCCCTTCCCCTGGACTGGAGTCAAAGTTTGGAAAAGTTACTTTTTGGATTAGAATTTCCAGAATTCCCCCTCCTCTGGTATCTCCTAGTTCCAATCTTTGCTCAGCCGTGATATGACCTTGAACTGCTTAACATACACCAGCCATAGCTCCTTAAAAGAACTGGAGGATAAAAATGCAATATATAAAAATAAATTTACTGCTAACTGATTCTGGTAGTAGGGTCTGTAAAATTTTTGTAGTCCTCTTTCGGTCTATTACTCATAGGTTCTGGCTAATATTTTCATCAGCAACTTTCTTAATTGAAAGCAGAGATCCCAAATTTTCCAATTGCGTTTGGAAGCTGCTCTGGAAATGCTCTTAAATGGGCTAAGAAACTTTCCTGCATTAACCATTTTTTTTCATATCAAGTTTTTACATCAAGCACTTTAGAGAGGGGGAAAATTACTTAGCACATAAACTCTTCTGAAAAGTGAGGACTAATTTATTATCATGTCATTATTAGCAGAATCACAAAAAGGGTCACTGGTCTCTCCTTTAATTTCTATCACAGGCTGCAGGCCGCATTATGCTGAATCAAGGATATGGGAAGATAATTAACACAGCATCTATGGCAAGTTTAATAGGTGAGTGATGAGAGCTAACAGTTGTGCTTCAGAATCCATATTTTAATTACTACCGATGCTATTTGAATCAATTAAAGCTGTATTGCACAGAAGTAAATCACTGACATTTTGTATTAGAGAAAATGTACTACAAAATTTTTATTGATATCATTTTTCAACATTTATCTGTCCTCTCCATTTTAGAGCACTTATTACTCTTTATAGAAGAGGTGGGGTTAGAACTCCCTACAGCTGACACATTTCATTATGTAAGAAAGGTGTTGGGTGTAAGCCACCTCCACAGTTAGACTGAAAAGCATATAATTTCTTTTGTTATATGTAGGGTATCCTAAAAGATTTATTTTGTCAGGGAATGCTAAATATGGAGCTAGAAAAGAAAAGAAAAAAGGGAAGACTTCCAGTAGCTCTCCCACCATTCTGGAGCCCTCAGTTCACTGGGTACCCCCCCCTTCAAACAATGAACTGAGTGGTTCAGCTGGCTGCCCCTTTTTCACAAAGTTGGGAACTACATTGATTTCACTTCAAGCAGAGGGGCCACTTTGATGCAATGGCTTGTCTTACCACCATCTTGGAGGTTCATTTGGGACCCCTAAGCCACAAGCCCCTCAGTCTGCTACTATTGCTACTACCATGTTATTGTCCCTGCAATTATGCAAAGCTTCCTATGTAAGCATGGACCAGACATGTCACAGGGAAGGGTTAAGCCTCGTGGCGCAGTGGTTAAAACGCTGTACTGCAAGCTAAAACTGTGCTCACGACCTGGGGTTCAAATCCCAGGTAGCCGGCTCAAGGTTGACTCAGCCTTCCATCCTTCCGAGGTCGGTAAAATGAGTACCCAGCTTGCTGGGGTGGGGGGGCAATGTGTAGCCTGTATAATTAAAAATTGTAAACCGCCCGGAGAGTGCTTGTAGCACTATGGGGCAGTATATAAGTAAATGGACCAGACATGTCACAGGAAAGGGTTAAGCCTTTATCCCTGAGGTGCTAACTATGTTGCAGGCAAGAACCTTACTGCAATGCATAGGAAGAGGGAGGCATTTACAAATGCAACCTCCACCTGGAATTTGAAGTGGCACAGTTCTGAATGCTACTACTGTGTTTTATATAATATTTATTTATTTAAAGCATTTTTACCCTTTCTCCTTAAAAAGGAGAACGTGTAGAATGACTACAACAAGATGTTCAACCATCCCAGCTATGGAAACAGAGCTCTGATTGACCTCGGGCATAATCCTCCTATCAGTCTGATATATACTGTACTAAGGTCAATTCTGGTTCTGGAGATTCTCAGTATGGTGTGTCTACTTCAGTAGTCAGCAAAACCAGGTTGTACTTGTGTATCTTAGATATATTGTACACCCATGTTTGTAACTCTGTGCTCTTATATTCGGATTGTCCTTAGCTTTAGGAATGTCTGCCTTTGTCATATCGAGAGGCAGGATATGTCTCTTTTTCGCACTGCAGTTCAAAACATCCAGCTAGCTTGGCCAGCAGTGATACTGGTTAGAGGATTTTGGAAGTTGCAATCCAAAGAAAAAGTAACCATCCAGGCTGTGGTTATATCCACATATGTTTGGCTTTGCTATTTGTTTCTTATTGGCAATGACCTTTCGGAACCCAACCTTGGTGATGTACACTTGCATGCCAGCTGGGCTTTCTTGCTCTTAATACCAATTGTTACATTTAATGCTTCCTGCCAACAGGTGCCCCCACTAGTGCTGTTGTTTCAGCAGCATCGTCAAAGAGCCAATAAACTATTGTAACATATGGAACGAAATCCCAACTGCTGAGCTAATCTGGAAGGCAGTTACATGCTGGTGAGCTGAGGCCCGTGTAACCAAAATTGATCAATTACACAAATTAAGCGTAGCCCTTCAGGAATTTGTTTTATTGGTCTGGACATCTGTTGCAGGATTGTCCAGATCCAAAAATCAAATGGTGCCTGTGAGCTGCCAAGTTAGGCCAAGGGGGGCTGGGGAGAAAAAGAGAGAGAAAAAATCCGGTAGCTATAAAAGTACAACTGAAAAACTCGATATTAATATCATGTCCATCTGCTGAATGTTACATAAATATGCAGTCTTTTTATTTTCCTTGGGAATAACATTTATTTTTACAATGCCCAGTTTGACATTCTATGACATTCTGTTCAGTTTATTACTTAGTAACTTTAACTATTTAGTCAAGAAAAGAATGCATTTATAATGTTGCTGTTCAGTTTTTTTTCAAGTGTTCTTACCGGCTGTTTCACTTATGGTTATAATGCCAGAGAAGCTGTTCTTACCCAAGTGTAAAGATTTTTTGCTAACAAGATTCCCCACCCACCTCCCACCAAAATTCTAGTTTTCGTTTAGGAAGTGAATATGTGCTGTAGGTATGGGTGTAGAAGGTTGCATCAGCCACAACAAACATGCTTCCTATTTTTATGTGCTGTCAATTGGCTTCCAATTTAAGGTAATCCTGTAAATCAGTGGTTCTTAACCTTGGGTTATGCTGTCAAATGGCTTCCAACTTAAGGCAATCCTGTAAATGAATGACCTCCAAAATGTCCTCAACAGCCCTGCTTAGTTCCTGCATACTCAAGGCTGTGGATTCCTGTATGGATTCACTCCATCTCATGGCTTCCAACTTAAGGCAATCCTGTAAATGAATGACCTCCAAAATGTCCTCAACAGCCCTGCTTAGTTCCTGCATACTCAAGGCTGTGGATTCCTGTATGGATTCACTCCATCTCATATTTGGTCTTCTTTATGACCTCCAAACTGTCCTCAACAGCCCGGCTTAGTTCCTGCATACTCAAGGCTATGGATTCCTGTATGGATTCACTCCATCTCATATTTTGTATTCTTTTCCTGCTGTTTTCAAATTTTCCTAGCATTATTGTCTTTTCCAGTGAACCCTGCCTTCTTATGATGTGCCCAAAGTAACCTAATTTTTGTAAATTTTGTCTTTAGAGATCATTCAGGCCCCTGCCTGCTTATGATGTGCCCAAAGTAAATTTTGTCTTTAGAGATCATTCAGGCTTGATTTGATCTAGGACCATTTGTTTGTCTTTCTGGCAGTCCAGGGTATCTGTGAAACTCTTCTTCAGCACCATATTTCAAATGAATTATTTTTTTCCTCCTAGCTATCTTTACTGTCCAGCTTTCACGCCCATACTTTGGACATACTATAGGGTGAATAATCTGGGACTTGGTCTCCAGTGACACATCCTTATACTTGATGATCTTTTCTAATTCATTCCTGTCCTTCTGAGGACATACTATAGCGTGAATAATCTGGGACTTGGTCTCCAGTGACACATCCTTATACTTGATGATCTTTTCTAATTCATTCCTGTCCTTCTGAGTCCCAGTTTTCTAATTTCTTGGCAGCAGTCTCCATTTGGATTGAAAATTGAATCAAGGAACAATTTCAGTTTGTCCATTGTCAACCTTAAAGTTCTGTAGTTCTATAGTTATGAATTACTCTTGCCTTCTTAATGTTCAACTGCAGTCTTGCTTTGGCATTTTTTCTTTCGCTGTCACTAAAAGTTCTTTTCCAGTGATTGCTGCTTTCTGTGAGTAAGATGGTGTCATCAGCATGTCTTAAATTATTGATGTTTCTTCCACCATTTTTCACTCTTCCTTCATTTGAATCTATTCTGGCTTTTTGTATGAGAAGTTTTGTGTATGGATTGAACACATAAGGAGAGCTGGCCTCACTCTGCCAAGATGTATAGTTTGAGGCAAGTTCAATCTCTCCCTGACTAGTGCACTGTTTTATTTCAGTTGTATATTATTTACCTCTTATATCTATTGGTGTGCTGTATTGTCTCCTTCTCTCCTCTTCAACATTATAGCTGATAGCAAACTGTTTCTTAGCTCTTACGTTGAGCATGACTCTGATTGGATTGGAGCATTCTAATAAAGGTGGATGAAGTACATACAGTAACTGGTGAATCACTCTAGTAAGCTATTGTATAGATCTGGTCAGATGTAAACAACAGGACACATGTTGGCTAAATAAATATGCTTTTAGTTTTCTGAAAACAAATAGAAATCTCAGATGGGGAAAATGCAAAAGGATTTGCCCCCTCTAAGCAGCCACAGAGTAATTTATCATAAACAGGCATATTTGGAAACTTTAGCAGGTGCTACTTTTGCAAGGTGATGAGGGTTAACTACCAAAGTTGTTTATAACTTGGATCCTGAACAGAGTAATTAATCAAGAAATTAGATTCCTCTCCACTTCTCCAGCCCACATGGAGTGCTGAATGTGGGATGCCAGACAGAACAACAGCAACTGAGTAAAAAAATATTTGCAATGAAAGATTACTGGATAAATATGCTAGCTCTATTAAAATGATTTCTTTTTTACAAAGCAAAAGAGCTTTACTGATTTTTCCCCCCTCATTATTAAAATCATGTCTTATTATACCATGGAAAAAGAAGGCAATATAAAGTGATTTTTAAATTGTGGATTGTTTAGGGTTTTTTTTTTTTACATTTTCACATGTTTTTATACAAACAAATGCTTCTATTTACACCTGCATTTTAGTTGTGTTGATTAAAAAAAAGAATGCATGCAGTCAAGAAAAAGACAAGGGTAAACTCATTACATCCACCAATGTTTTACAAATATAATTTTGCTTGGCTGACTTCTCTTGACCTTTTTTTTAAAGGATTGCTTTATAGGTACCATTCTGCAAGACAGACTTTTGTTTTAAATTTCTTCTCCTCAGACTTTTCACATATCCAACAATGCAAGTGTGATTTCTATTTAAACCATTAAAAGAGAGAGAGAGAGAGAGAGAGAGAGAGAGAGAGAGAGAGAGAGTTCCCTTATGTCATGCCTGATTCTGAGGTTCCTGGAAGTGGGTATATGATGAGTAAGGTATCTGGTCACCCACTGCTGAAGATAAGGGCTCGGTTACTGGGACCTGAGATATAAAGCTATTTTGCAGGGTGGGGAGTGTTGATTAGTCACAATAATTCACACAAAAAGTCTGAATAGGATAAGAAACCATGGAAGAAAAGTGTGGGACAATGAAAGTTGCCTTGTGTCAAGACAGTCTAAGCTGAGGAGAATGAGGAATTGAGTGAAAGACACTTCACATCTCTATTTCCAACTTTTGCCCATGGGTACTGTTTTTGAAGAAGTAGTGAGTGAGGAATCTGGCGGCAGAGCTACAGGCTGAGAGTTCCCATATTGTGGGATGCCAGAAGAGCCTGTCTAGCCTTGGGCAAGCTGCACAGATGGGATGCCAAAAGAGCCTGTCTATCATTGGACAAGTTGCACAGTCCCTAAATGCCCCATAAGAAAGGAACTGTTTCTGAGTACTCCCTATTTAGAAAACCCCGAAATGCCCCGGAAGAAAGGAACTGCTTCTGAGTACTCCCTATTTAGAAAACCCCGAAAAGAGTCCCCATCAGTCAGAACTGACTTGATGGCATCAAAAAGAAAAAGGAAAAAGAAAGGGGGAAAAACCCATACAAAGTTTTGAACTACCGAACTATTGCTCTGCCTGGAAGCACACCCACATATATTCTTTGACAATTTGTGACAAGTAACACAAATTAATTACTTTTTAAACAGCAAGTAACAGGAATGAACTACTTTAAAAATAATACTTTTGCAGTGTTTGCGTGTGGGTCCAAATAAGTTCTTGCCAGAAAAAAAAAACAAAAGAACTAACTGGTATCTGTTCTGGCATTGACCACTTTATCTTTACTTTATTTCCATTTTAAAAAAAACACAAACTAAAACATTTTAATTTCATGCTGCAATGCATGACCTAATCTCTGTTTGAAAAGGTTATCATAATGGCTGGGTTTCTAAAAATAAGATGTTATTTTTGAAGGTAGAGATGCTTGAGGAAAGGGGCAGGACGAACAGAACATACCAAAGTCACTTGTATGCATGAACGTTATAATTAACCAAGCCGATCATTTTAGCTTTGTGACTGACATGTGACATCTGTGCTTTTATTTTCCCCACCCATAGCATCCAACAGTCAAGATGCTGGAAAGATTGGCATTTTGGGGACACAAGCATACCAATATCTGTATAAATGCTGGATCTTATATAATTCTGTATTCACTTTTATAGAGGTATAGAGGTATTGTTTGTACTATATAAGGATTTTAATTTGTATAAGCATCTGTATCTTAAATCTAGTGTTGCAGTCCAGTACACATTTGGATGCAAGAGATAGCCATAAAACTTATCAGAATTTAGAAGTAAACATGCATAGGATTAGGCGCTTAGATTGCAATACTTTGGGCAAACTCTTGTGTAATTTGCACCTGTGACAGGCTGATAATGTCAGTGTCAGGAAAAGATTTTCAATAATTACAGACTTCCTCCTTTTGTCCCATGGCTCCCAAGGCTTCCGGTGATAAAATGGATTACTCACCAGTTGTGCAAGCCTGCAGGACAGGAGGAGGATGTTTTTAATTACCATCGTCGTCATTTAGTCGTTTAGTCGTGTCCGACTCTTTGTGACCCCATGGACCAGAGCACGCCTTAATTACCATAAGTCTCCATAAATCTCCTCTTGCCAATGTCATCATCATCTTTCCACATGTGTAGCTTATGCCTCAAAATTTTGGCCTGTGGCTATTTATCTGGTAGCAAGTTCCACTGAATTGTTAAACATGTGTGTTAGATATCTGGGAGTTGGACTTCAAGTTGCACTGGTCTCTGCTTTCAGTTTGTAGATCCAAAAGTCTATCATGTGATATAAATGCAGATGGAAAGACACAAAATGCATACAGATACACCTGACAGTTGCAGTCATATTTACTATTTCTGCATGAGTATATACTAAATAACACCTTTGTTTTCTCTTACTTTCCCCAGTTCCCCACCCACAGAAGCAACTGGCTTACAATGCCTCAAAAGCAGGGGTTGTAAAGCTAACTCAGACATTGGGAACAGAGTGGATTGACAGAGGAGTGAGAGTGAACTGCATTTCTCCGTAAGTAAAATACAGAAGTGAGAGGAAATTTTCTTTAATCTTTTTATTTTAAGGAAATAAAATAAGAACTTAAGAAAATTTGCCAGTTTCTTCACAAATTAAAAAAAACCCTTAGGATTTAGAAACTGTAATGTTGGACAAAGCAAAACTGATTTATCCATCCAAGCAGAGACCTTTTGAGTGCTTAGTTTGGCTTTGAATTCCTCTTTTATTCAGTGGAGTTTGTTGTACTTAGTTTTCCAGGCAGGCCCCTATTTTTAATAACTTCATTATGGGGGTGGGGGTGGGTGGGGAGGTGGAACATGGTCCTCTTTATACTGAGAATAATTACATCAATTAGGGTTTGCCTGTGTGAATCTGTGAGAATTTTGTTCTGTTTATTTATAAAAAGACCTTACTGTAATTTACATTTTTTTCCATAAAAGGGACACACAAAAGATAAATTAAAAATTCAATTGTGGAAGAAAAGAAAGCAGGGGGAAAAATCATCCTTAAATATCAAATGGATTTTTGGAGCAGGTGAAAATAGATTATATACATCAAGTAAAGTCTTTGTATAAAGAAAATGTAGGGAAATAAAGTTGTGAATTAGTAACGCTTGACTAAAAAAAAATCTGTCAGCATAACAGAAATATAATCACTTATCAGGAAATAATCCCTATCAGTATACGAAGTTTGGGATTTTGCAAGAGTTTTACCATTTGATAACAGGTTTTCCAGATCCATGAAGGGTGCTTTTTAGCATTTATTTTCCAGATGAAATATTTCCTTACTATAGTCCAAGACTTATGTGGTTAAAGAAAAGCCTTTTGATATTTAATATGCAATGCTTCCCCCTTCCCAGTCATCTATTTTTTACTTCTATATAGACAATTCAAAAGGCAAATTATACTATATAGTTGGAGATGTTCAGGAGTAGCAGTTACAGGATTCCTTGGTGTTATTTTATTTCTTAAAAAATATTCATTACAAGTTATTTTTGCCTAATTTCTGATAACTTAAAACATGAAAAAGAACAATGTAGCCACTGTTTTTCCTCTCATAGCTCCTCTACATTTCTACAAAACACAAAGTGGACCAGTTCCAAATTATTTACATCCTTTTTGGGTGTGTGCACCTGTGTGCTGATAAGTGTATATGGATGTGTGCTGTGTAGTCTTCCCTTCTGTAATGCAACCAGTGTTGTTCTAGAGTTCCAACACGTAGATGGAGAAACAGAAGCCGGCAGGCTAGTCATTCTTTTCTGCACGTCTTTAATTAAGGAGGGTAGCTTCAAAAGCTTATTCTGGGGTTTACCTGTCTTCTACATGTCCTTGTTTCCTATGTTTGGTGCACCGTACCACACAGCACACGGATGCACAGTTCAAAAGCATACAAGCTGTTAAGAAATTCCTCAAGAAGAAAGACACACAAGGTGTGTATTTTTGCTTTGGATGAGAGCAGACATGAGGCTTAAGATGCCTTTGTGCCATGTGTTTGATTTAGAAAGAAAATAAATATTTTTTTGTTTCATTAGTATATCAACAGTTTTGCTAATGAAAATTGGAAAGTAAAGCAAGGTGGAGCACAATATTTGGGAGTGCATGCTGGATCTTTACCTCATTGACCTTCACAAGAGTATGAAACTAGTAGACATTATATCACTGGTTTCCAGATGAAAGTGCAATTTTTCCACCTGATACTTTGCCAGGAACTGCCATTCATGTAGAAAAGAAGGGGGGGGGCACACTCAATCAATCGAAACCAGAGAGTTGTTGGATTAAAGCAATGTCAATTGATCTCATCTGAAGAACTCACAACTTGGGATGTCATGTAACCTGTGGTTCCATTTGATAGATTCTTTTAGCCCTAGCTCACAGAACTGAGCCTTGAAGGGATGAAATGCTGTCAAATATAAATGTGTTTTAATATTAAGAGTTTTCGGCACCTTGTGATGTTTATGGCTGCCATTTTTTATCAGAAGGGAGCCCATGAATTGTTTAGCTCTTTTACCTTGGCTATAATCACTCTGTTGACAAGTCGGGGCAAGCTTCACAGCTTTCGATTGTCTAAATGAAGATCTGATCCTTGAGTGTGCTGTTCTTAAAGCAACACATTTTATAGGCAGGAACTACAGGGTTTTAGGAAGAAACACACATGCACTTATTCCACAGGGAAAAGAATTTTACTGAACTATATTTTCAGCTGATAAGTACTTTGGACTGCTTTAGTAATATATAATTGTAATTTTCTATTTCAGTACGAATCTATAAACACCTATCTTTATGTGCTATGATATTGCAGTTATTTAAAAAAAAAGACAGAGGTCCTAATATGCCTCATACTTTAATGATAGCAGTAGAGGAGTGAAAAATTAAAATGGCCACACTAATTAAGAGGAGATTACCTCTGTAGCCTTGGGCAAGCTACATAGTCCCAGGATGTCCCCAGAAGAAGGGAATGGTGAACCCCTTCTGAGTACAGTGGTGCCTCGCTTAGTGAGGTTAATCCGTTCCGGATTAACCCTCGCTCAGCGAATCCATCGTTAAGTGAAACAAAAAAGCCCATAGGAACGTATTAAAACTGATTTAATACGTTCCTGTGGACTTAAAACTCACCGTTCTGCGAGTTTTCTCCATTGCGGTCGCCATTTTGTTTTAGCGGCGGCCATTTTGGAACCGCTGATCAGCTGTTCGCTATGCTTTGATCGCGTCCATGCGATCATCGCATAGCGAAAAAAGCCCATAGGGGCCATCGCTGAGCGAACGCTCCAGCGATGGCCCGGGACCCATCGTTGTGCGGTTTCATCGCATAGCGAAGCATTCGCTATGCGAGGCACCACTGTACTCTCTAACTAGAGACCCCTGAAAAGGGTCACTGTAAGTCAGAATTGACTTTACAGCACAACAATTGTTCTTCTTATTATGGACGTGATATACAGCATGGCATGATATCAGATTAGGTCTTTGGAGAGTTCAGGAGAGTGAATGAAAACTGGAGTGGATTCAGTAGGAGATCTCATTAGGGAGCATATGATGGAATAGGTGATTAGATCAGAGAGTAGATCAACTGAGAAAAGCCTTGATCTGATTGTTGGAAGGAGGCATTGTGTGTGTATGTATGTCATTGAGATATTCCCTAGTTATCACTCCTACCGCAATGGACATCACTAAAGCTGCCGACCTGATCAGGCATCTAGGGCAAGGATTGAATTTGCTCAGTAGTACATTCTGGAATTCATATGTACGAATTATCCCTGCTGCTCACCAGCTGAAGGCACTTTCAGGTCTTACGGTGTGACACAGAAAGGGAAAGGCTAATTGAGAATGGCTGCGTATTTCCAACAAGGTATTCAAGCAGAAATGGGTTATGGTATTCAAGGACTGTTCCCTAATCTGGACTAACATAAACTGCAGGAGATCAAGAAAGCTAAAGGTCTCGGTCCTGGATCATCTTCAGCACGGAGGAAGATATTTTTGTGTGCAAAAAGACTTGGCATCAAAGTACACCAGAGGGAAGAACTAAGCACCACTCTATCACTTAAAGGCATCCCAATTAACCAGCATTACCATCCCCATTAAGCAACAGCAGTTGCTCTTAAATATCTCTGGGCTTATATCTAGTTTCTTGGGAGATGTCCCAATTAAGTGGGTTTTACTGATTAAACACTTCCCAAGCAAATGAAGTGTACTTAAATCATTCAAATTAATAACTCATCTGAAAGAAATCAACTTATACACAGATGGGATCTGCCCCCACCTCCCATCCCCACTTTGGGAGACGAACACACATAACATTTCCACGGGAGCAGCTGACAAGCGGTACACTTAAAAACAACAACAACATTGCATACACACATTGGCAGAAACTGGGGATTGTTTGGGACTCCTTGAATCTTAAAGCAGCCTGTGTGTCAGAAGCAAAATGTCAGTTCCACATATCATGTTAAGGAACCTACAGTGTGATAAACCATTGTCATGCAACAGCGTTGCATTCCCGATGAGGCAGGGAATTAATGCCTTGGCACATGTCACTGTTCAGAATGGTTAAGAGCCAACTAAAATTTGCCTAAAAGGGTTTTTCCATCTCCAACATTAAATTGCCCATCTTTGGCACTAAGCCTCTCCCAGAAGAGGTGCGTGCCTCATATTTATAGAACAACCTGAAAAATATGGTTGTGAGTGTAGACTTTGTTCTGTTACTGCCCTCAGATTTGTTGGTTGTTTTCCTTAAAGAAAAGGAGGAGGAGGGAAAGGAGGAGAGGGAGCTGAAATTCTGTTGTCTTCAAAATAAAAATGATGCCCCACCCCCACCCCACTGTTATGTATAATGAAATGAAAGAACTAAATTTCAATGCTTAGCTTTCTAATGGAGAATGGCTAACGAGAGCCAGTGTGGTATAGCAGAACAGTGTCAGATAAGGACACAGGGTTTTAATCTAGGCTTGGACATGGAAATTTATGGAAAGGTGGCAATGATAAATCACTCCTTGAATGTCTCAGATACCTGGAAAACTCCAGTAGGGTTGCTATAGATTGAAAACAAAGTGATGGCAAAAAACCCACAACACAATATTTTTTGAATGTGTGAAAAAATATTTAGAAATAGTGTTTTGTTTTACATTTTTACATGCCTGAAGGCATTCACAGCACTTGTTTTGTAGTAATTCTTCTGTGAGGGTTTCTGAGGCTCCCCATTCTGAAACAAATTGTTTGCTGTATTGGTCTGTGGGGTTGGAGCTAAATCATGTCTTCTTTTCTCCATCATCATGTTGTACTGTAAGCAGCATCTTGCCAAAAAGGCCCTCCTCCTGCCATTAGCCTCTGTGGGAGACCCCTCATTTCTTTGCCCCACATTTGATTGGCTATTCATGCAATTTGCCAGAGAAAATGTGGCACCTACAAACACATTCACGCACAGGCACATATTTGCACAATGCACATGTACCACAATAGTGACTTCTCTCATCAGAAATAAATCCATTAATATATGATGTTGTTTTGGGTGAAAATGCAAAGTCAGGTTGTTTTCTGCCCATCTCTAGTCACATAATCAGTTACTGAATATACATCTTTTTAAATATATACAAGGTTTAAATTTTTTTCAAAGCTGGATATTTAAGATTACAAATATCTAGTGGCAGAAAAATTGAAACCTGCCCAGAGAAATAGTCATGCCTTGCTACCATTTCCCAAATGGTAAGGAGACACCCTGTTTCCCCAAAATAAGACCTAACCTGAAAATAAGCCCTAGTGTGATTTTTCGGGATGCTCGTAATATAAGCCCTACCCCCAAAATAAGCCCTAGTTAAGTAAAACCCTGTCCTCCACCATTGTGCAGTATTGTGCAGCAATCAGAAGAAGATGACATGACTGTATTTGAATAGATATAGATTGTTGTACATGAAAAAAAAACATTCCCTGAAAATAACCCCTAATGTGTTTTTTGGAGCAAAAATTAATATAAGACCCTGTCTTATTTTTGGGCAAACACTGTATTCACAAGAAATCCTTGGAAAATCATGAGCAGCAAAACTTCAACATTGAGTAACACTTCTTATGAGTAAAATATGGTAATAAGCAGTCTTACTTAGATCTTACCTATGGGTTATACACAACACCTTGTATATTGGAAAACTAGTAGTTTCAACAGTACTAATAACTCCAGTGTTGATTTTATAATTGTCACACTACATATCATCAGTTTATCAAGTGTGTGTGATACATATGAAATTGTTGCAGGGTAACAGTAAATGAATGCTGTTGATATTACTTTTGCAAATGAAAGTCAATATGTTTTCCCAGCAAACATATGTTAGGGCCAAGAGGTTGATGTGATGGGGGGAGAGAACTGCTTTGGAGAAACAACATTGTGATTATAATATTATTTTGGAATGTAGGAGAGTGCCAGAGGTCAATCAAGTCACCCTTGTGTGGTATTATTTAAGAAGAGCAATGCTGTTTATTGTCAGCTTCGATCTGAAACAACAACAAAAAAAGCAAGGGCGGTTGCAAACGAAAGAGTTCCACTTAGTTACCGAAAAATAAAAATCAAATGCAAATGAAAAGGGCAGTAAAGCCAAATCACATCTGTTAAGTAATATCATAAACAGACCTTCTTTTAAAACAAAAGTACGGTGGGGTGGAGGTCTCCTTCCCAGAATGCAGTGTGTTTTGAAAGCCTATTTCTTTGGAAGTCTAAATTGGGATGAGGGCGAAGTTTGAGAACAAAACGGCATTTTGAGACTTTGTTCATTTCATATTTATCACTGGCTTGTTTGCTAATTTTCATTTGCAAGAGGCAATTCTTCCAGCTAACTGGGTGCCTCAATGGGCCACTGATTTCTTTGAAGTGACAGTCTGTAAATATGCATAAAAAAGAGATGCAATTAGCGCGTGTGTGGTTCAGTGCAGCCTGATTTCATTGGCAAGTTTACCCACAGTGTTGATAAGCTACATTATCTAGAAAATTGGCCGCTGAAAAACAGCACCTCTGATTGCCAGCAAAGGTTCCAGATAACAGGGTGCTGAAGAGAAATATAATTGAGGTTGAATATGTTAACCAAGGTGTCACATGCTCCTTAGAAGCGCTAATTTATCAGCATGTTGGAATTTTTATTAACATTTGGAATGCATTTCTACCACACTAATGAAGTGGAATTGGCAGTTCAGGTTTTAGTTATTGTCATTTCTGAGAAGTTAAATGTAATTTCTTGTTAGGCACAGTTATGTAAATATATTTATACAGGGGCTGGGGGAAAAATTATAATATTATACAAAATACAAATACATTGTTAAGGAGGAGGGTGACAAATCAGTTATTATTAAAGCCTTAAAAACCGACCAAATGTAGCTGCTGTGTTGTGAATCCTCAGGTTTCTATTTATTTTTTCAGAAATAAAAAAGAAACTTATAGAAATATTCCCCAATGAATTGTCTACCTTGTTGCAGGGGAAAATATCTAAGCTCAAAAACATTTGATGTAATTCATTGCATATTTTACCAAATTACATTTTGTTTTATGCCAAGAAAAGTCAGGGTTAACAGGAAATTTCATTTTAAATACAGTAAAGAAAAAAACCCGGATCTGGGGTTTTAGTTTCTCCAGTTTCAACTGTACGTATTTGCTCAGCTGTATACAAATATATTGTATCATTTCTTTCGCTGTGCGAACTAATGAATAGAATAATCAGAATGTCCATTTGTTAAAAAGAAGAAGAAGAAAAAATCTATTTGTAGGTAACGGGTTGCCAGTCACTTTTGATTTAGATGATATGATTGTCTTTGAGGCAGACATTCCAGTTGGGGCATTATGCTAAGTAACGTGTCACTAATATGAAAATAAATGAAGAGTACAATGATGAAATGGAAGAATAAAAAGTAAGAGGGATCTTCAAAAAATGGTATTAAAAGGCATTTAAGCAGAATCATATTTGCCATTTCTAAGGTTTATTGAACCAGGGAGTTAAAGCCTTGCATTCATGTTTTAATTTTTAAAATAACATTTAGTATATATTTTTAAAATGCATGTGCCATATTTAAAAGAAAGGAGGGAAAAAAACCCTAACAAACTGGTTTGTGTCTCTTATGTTTATACAGCGGGATTGTAGACACGCCCCTCATCCATTCTGAGGAGCTGAAACCTCTTGTGCAGCGCTGGCTTGACGATATCCCGGCTGGAAGGCTCGCTCGAGTGACAGACTTGCAAGCTGCTGTCATATACTTGGCATCGGAAGCTTCAGATTATATGACTGGCCACAATTTAGTCATTGAAGGAGGGCAAAGCTTGTGGTAAAAAGGGAACGGCAGTGTCTTTTCAATACGCTCAGAGAACAACAGACAGGAGAAAGTCTCTGTGATCACCTCTGAATCCTATACGAGATGTTAAGAGTTCAGCTTTCCCACTGAAATCTCCATTAAGGAATAAAATAAAATCAAAATAATGTTGCCAAACAGCTATTTTTAAATCAATTCACCCGTAGCTATAGACGAATCTTAAAATCAGCACATGCAAAAGGATCCTTTCTTCTTCTTTTAAGCAGGCCTAGATGGGTTGTTGTAGTACAAGGCAAAATGCTTCTCTCTACCAACTTTAGTCATTTTGGTGACTCCGGCAATAGAAATCATTGTGACTTCAGCAAAAGAAAGTATGAACCTACATTTTAAGCTGCAGATGAAATATCTTTGGATCTTTGCTAAATAACTGGTTCAAGTAATCAGAAAAGCATATTAATACTTCTACAACTGCAATACCAAAAAAAGAGGCACAGAAAAAGGGGGGGGGGAAGCAAAACAATGCTGTACTAAAAGAGGTTTTCCTAGAAAGTTTTGGTTCCAGCACATATGTGGAACAGGACAGACAGTCAACATTAGCTGGTCTGCGCGCCTGGTGTCTCCCTCATAATCCACTCCTTAGCTTTACAATTAAATTATTTCAGTAATTGTAAATAGTATCAGGAAAAAAAATTCCAACATCACAAAATCAAAATCCTTTACATTTGTTTTTTGTATTAATAGTCTGCTCTGGTTCATAATGTTTAAGCTGTGTTCTTCTTTTAATTGTAATGACACAATGACACACTTTGTATTGGAATACAATGCATTGAGAGGTGGTATAAAATCTGTGGGCTACATTCTGGTTGCCTAAGGTTTCCTTACCACCCACCCAGCTTTTGGACAGGTATGGGTGATTGTTTACTATCCATTCAGTTCTTCCCAGTTCTAGATTTATCAAAACTTCTATAAAAATCTGTACAAAAATGCACAGGCTGGTATCCTGTTTTCTGCAGCTGGACTGAATCCTACACCCACAGGGTTCCCGTGATATCTGTGTTGTTGTCCAAGTTAGAGTTTACCGTGACTGATTTCAACAGGGCTTACACTCATCCAAGGAGGCACTGGATGTTGTCCTTGTTACATGCTGTCAGTCTGGTTCTGACTTGTGGCAACATTATGAACGAGCAATCTCCAAAATGTCGTGTCCTCAGCAACTTAGCTCAGCTCTTGCAAACTTCATTGAAAAGGCTCTGGAAAATCTCTGCCAGCCATGTGACATTGTATGGGAGGAATGAGACAAAAGGGCACTGCCCTTAATCTTTAAAATATTTTCTTGAAAACTAATGATAATAATTATGTGCTGTCGACTCAGCTTCAATTTATAGTGGACTTTTTCAGGGTTTTCTAGGTAGAGGGTACTCAGAAGTGGCTTACCATTCCCTTCTTTTATAGGTACTCTGGACTGTGCAGCTTGCCCAAGGTTAAACAGGTTGGCTCTTCTCCTGGGACAGCACAAGAAGTCGAATTTCCAACTAAGTTAACAGCTTACATAGTTCTAAATAAATGTGAATGACTGAGTGGTGGACTGGTCAAACTGTAGAATGAAATGGAAACAAAGGGGTGGGTGTGATCCCACTTCTCCACTGAAGCTCTCTGTGTGCCCCAAACCCAGCTCTGGGGGAAGATCTTCCAGAGAGCAGTTTATTCAGCAGCACAGGGATTTTCAGCATAAGAGGCAGAGAAATTTTCCACTGCAATCACGAGACCAATGGGAACTCGAACAGTAAACATTTAAGAAGCACAAATATAACGAAATGCTGAAGCTATTATATGGGGTGGGATGATATTCTACAACCCAGCTATTATATAGTATGGGATGATATTCTACAACCCAGTTGATAATGCTACCATTGCTTCTTTATTGACATAATCATTTCCTCTCTATTTAAAAATAAGGTTATCTGCTTTGGTGCAGCGTTGGATTGTGATTGTTTTCTCTCAATATACCTTTCCAAATATATTTTCTCTCAACATGAAAAATTCCAGAGTTTATGTAAGGAAATCTGAGATGGAGGACAATTCATTTCCAATCTCCACATTAATCTGTGGTGTGCAGATGATGTTTGATCACAGGGGCTCAGGGGGAAGAATTTCTCAAGAGATTGTTCTTGTGATTTACCTAGTAATCTCTCTCAAAATGGTGGAAAATCTACTGAAAATAAAGAGCTGTGCATTTAGCAAATCTGACTAAAACTATAGTCCTGCGTAGGACCAATATTCAGATGAGCATTACCTTGCTCTCGGTGAATCCCAATATTGGTATTGGTGAAATGTTAGGAAGAACAACCTTCAGAACATGGCCAAAGAGCCTGAAAAACCCACAACAACCAATCCCAATATTCTTTGTGTATTTGGTGAGGGAAGCGCAACAGTTTAGGTATCTGGCTATGGAGCCAAGAGGTTTGGAGTTTGATTCCCCATTGTGCCTCCTGTGTGGCTCTGAGCAAGCTGGACAGTCCCAAGATGCACCCAAATGAGGGGAATGGTAAACCATTTCTGAGTAGTGAAGATCTAAAAAACAAAACAAAACAAAACCCCGAAAAAGGTCACCATAACTTAGAATTGACTTTTCTGCACATATTATTTGTTGAGAGAACAGATCAAGGCTATTCTTAGGCCTCAGCCTAACTTCCCAGTGCCTGTCACAACTTTAGCTGATTCTACTTCATTCACTGGCCTGACTTGTTCCTTTTTCCAAGGATTTCAGTGAGGCCCCTGGAAATCAACAACTCTTAGTAAACCTTGAAATGGAACTGTTGAGTGCTTGAAGCTTTTTATTATTTTTCTGGGCTCACAAAACCACTTTCTATGAGCCTCATACACTTCCATCATATTGTGTCATGCCTTGGAAAACTCGGTTTGATTCTCACATGACTGTGGCCAGCCTTTTATCCCAAGGTTAACATGCAAGCCGGAGTGAACTCATCAGGAATCTTTCCAACTAATTCTTGCGGGACTTGTATACTGTAGCTGGACTTCTTGTGAATAGTTTGTTTTAGCCCCTATGTAAGAGGGAAAAATAACAAACTTCAGCTAATTTGAAACATAAGCTACCATATGCAATTGGCATTATAATAACCGAAAACATTACCACCCCACCTTCCAACTTAGTGGAAAGACTATGGAGCAAGCAGCCTGTGAGGACTGAACTATTCTTTTGTGTCCAATAATGACTTCTCCGTCTTAAAATTAGAAACATCTGGGGCAAAATTCTGATATGAATCACATTGTAGTTATAAGACGATATGATTTCATTTTTCTGTGTAAATCAGTGGTTGGCCTCTTTTTTAAAAAAAAATTGGACAGCAGCTTAGGATACTAATGTTGTGTGTTGGCTCTTTATGCTATAAATGAGCCGATTTGGGACTGAGTACAAATTAACATAGTGGGGTATAAAATGACTATCCAGAGCCAAATTCAGAAACCAGGAACCCCAACCCCAATCCTGAGAATATCCATGACCGTGTGGGCATTTGATCCCAAATCACCCCAGTCTTAATCCATCATCCTGTCCACTAGACAATTGCAGCTTTTAAACTTGGGATTATAGAACATAAACCCTAATGTGTCGTGTAAGGACCAACACAGACCATTTCCCATACTTTCACCAAAACTTGAGAGTAGCCTGGGAAATGGACCAATGCTAGCCCAATCACTGCTAGTTCTCACAATCAAGGTGGGTATCTCATAAATATTTTATGTCACAGGTATAGCTGGGTATCAAGATTGTGGATGCATGCATTTGGTTCCACCATGCCATTGGAAGCCAGACAAAGAATTGAGCATCTTATGCCTTTTCCATGATCAACTGGCCCAGAAGTAGTCACAATGGTTCACCTGGTTGACATCACAAGCCCATTCTTGTGTCATCACAAGTCCCTGCCCCATAGCCTCAAGTACTGGCCCTGAATTCTTAGGGAATGGGATACTGCCGATCTGGTAACCTTAATAGCAGGCCATACATCTTTCCCTCATTGTTGTTTGGTGCACTCAAGTTACTTTTTACCTATGGTGATCATACAGATCAGTGAACTCCAAGAAGTCCTATCATTAACTGCTCAGGTCTTGCAAATCAAAGTCTGTGTCTTCCTTTATTAAACTAATCCATCTCAACTTCATTGCCCTCTTTTTCTGCTGCTTCCCACCATTCCAAGCATTATCATCCTTTCCATTAAGTCCTGCCTTCTCATGATATGTCAGAGGTATGAGAGCCTCAGTTTAATCATTTTTGGTGTCCTTGCACACCTTTCCCTGCCCCTGCCTAAGGGACCAAGCGTCAATATTTTAGGCATGTCACAAACATTCAGATAGGTGTACTTGCAACACCACATTCCACCTCTTTGACTCTGTGGTCAAGACTCAGGAAAACAGGACTTTGCCCTAAGCCTATTATGAGGAGTAAGAACCAGGCCCTCCTCATTTCCATCCTATGAGGTTTTGTTCCAGCCAGGTTATATGCATCTGTTGACACTATCTTTTTCTAGAAGAAAGGTTTAGAAGGATGAGGGGAGGGAGAGAGTGGCTAAAACTGCAGAATTTGACCAGTCCTTTCTGCTGTTAAAAAGTCCAGGAAATTTTTTTAAAAGGTTTTCTTCAGGCACCAAGAAGACGTCCACTCGGTTACCTGGCAGGCCTTCATAGAGAATTCCATATGCTGGTTATCATAACTTCAGGAAGATATTTTCCAGGGACCACTCATATTCGAACGTGTGTAAGGCTCAATGGGTGATGTGGATGTGGGAAGAGAGGCAAGCACCTCCTCAAACTTCCCAAAGACATATGTGTTTGTCCAGCACAAAGGTCTGCAAAGGTCTTCGGGATTTCTAGTTTGGATAGGGACAGGGGGGCAGGACTTGCATGTGCGTCCACTTCCTCGTCATTTTTTTGAGTTGCAGTCGAAAGTCTGGTCTGAGAAATTTGTTCCAAAGAGTGGCATTAACTTGGGTGCCAGAAAGAAATGGT